AGTTGACTAGCTTCCAAACAGACAAAACAGTCTAGAGCTTGACGAGCCAAGTGAGTGGAGGGAGCCCAGTTAGCTTATCACTAAACTGGGCTTGGGGAGTTCAATCTGAATCTAATATGATTTAGGGAAATAAATACACATGTCATTCACTAAACCCTGAGTATCATGGAGCAGTCACAGCTTCTGTGATAACAACAGCCCACCTGAGTCGCCCTCCTGGACTCTCTGCTGGCTCTCCTCTGCTTACTCTCCGACAGAGTCGGTGGTCATGTAAGCAGTTTTAGTAAGTCCAGGGAAGGGACAGGGAGTGACTGAAATGTGAACAGTGAGATATTATATTATAGGACCCAATCTATCTTTAGGTTTAAATAATAGCCTCCATTGCTAAAGACGTACCCATTCACCCCTGCATAGAAGGCTGAAGAATATATATGTAAATTTTCCCTCTGGACATAAAACATGCCTGTGTTTTCTGACTTTGGGGGAGGGGGGAATAGCATGGGGCTGTGGGAGGAGCAGAGCTTACTCCAGGCAGCCAATCAGCCACAACCAGTCTACGTCTCCACCTTCCTCTCTCTTCGATTTTTCCAGATCACACTGAGCATCTCCACACTCCCCAGACTCAGTGAGGATCTCCAGGCTAAGATGCTCAAGAAAATAGTTCTTACTGGAGAAAGGGAAATTGTGCCATGGGGGAAATCCATTGTTTAGAAAAATAAGGGGTGAGGAAAAGAGCTAGGATTTTGGAGCAAAGACAGCCCAGAAGGTGACAATCTGGTTGGAGAGTGATAAGGGACACTGGGGACTAAGAACTGAGGAGAAATTTCTGAGCTGGGGGGACATGGGGAGGAAATTTTTTTTTGAAAAAGAAATTAGTGACTTGCAGCCTGACCAAAATCTATGTGTCAGACCACCGAGAGGTGTGAAAGAGTCTAACATGAGGCAACATGATGAGAAACAAACTTGGCTTGAAGAGGGAAAGGTTCTGGTGTCATCTGTTCATTCCTCAGCCAGGTGACCCTGGGGAAGTCCCTTCACCTCTGAGCTTTAGATTCCTTATTGGCAGAAAGAAAAAACTGGTACCTCCTGCCCATCCTGTGAGGCCGCACTGGACCCCAAGTACTGGGAAGGGGAGTGGGAGGTTCTGTGGTGGAGCACACAGGCTCTAGAGTCAGACTCCCGGGTCACACCCCACCTCCACCACTGACTGGCCACATGAACTTGGGCAGACTCCTTCACTCTGTACAGCTCATTTTAGTATCCATAAAATGGGCAACCCCCTACGTGGCTGTGATAATAAAAGCAATCTTTACAAGGTCCCTGAAAGACTTACACAATGCTTGGTAGAGTAAGCTCAGAGAAACTATTGAATATTATCACAATTAAAAAGACAGTGGTTTGAGCCCTGGCCAGTGTGGCTCAGTTGGTTGGGTGTCATTCTGCAAAAAGATCCCCAGTTGGATTCCTGGTTAGGGCATTACCAAACAGCAAGGGGGGGTCCCGCTGCCCACCACCACCCTCTAGGCAAAATTCCAGAGGCAAAGTTTTGGTGATAAAGGAAAGGAGTTTTTATTCAATGACTACACAGTTTTGGAATAACAACTTTCCACTTGCATTAGTCACTTAAGGCTAAAGCTCTTTAACTATTTGTTACAGCTTTAATCACTTAAGCCTATCGATTAAAGCTAAACTCTGTAGAGTTCTCCTAAAGTCCTATAGCACCATTCCCCATAAGCTTTTATTTATCTTATTTCTGTAGGGTTAGTTTACAAACTAAAATAACATGAGATACAAAAGCTACACCATTTTGGAAGAAAGGCAGGCTTCTGCCTCAGACCTCATCCCCTCTAGAACTTCCAAGGAAGAATAACCCTGCCACCCTCTGCCAGGCCAGCCCAATCCTAGGCTGCACCCGGAGTTACTTCCCATCCAAAATTCACACGTAATCCATCTAAATTACCATCTGTTGGGAAATGCAGGCAGCTGCAGCATGATCATCCAGGCATCCTCAAGGAAGAAAAGCCGAAGAACCTGAGAACCAGCCCATCTAAGGTCCCGAGAGCCCTTCTTTTATTTCAAACCTTCTTGCCAATAGTTCCATGTGCTCTGGAGGCATTGAGCATCTCAGCCCACCCGTCCTAAGCTGTTTACTGTTGCCTTGGGCAACCTCCTCATGTGGCCCCTTTCTACTCTTCCCCAGCAATCTGATCAGATCTCTCTGTATCAAGGGCACATGCCTGGGTTGCAAGTTCAGTCCCCAGTGAATGTGTGCAAGACACAGCCAGTCGATGCTTCTCTCTCCTATCAGTGTTTCTCTCCCACTCTTTCTCTCTCCCTTTTCCTCTTTCTAGAATCATTAAAAGAAAAAAAAGACAGTAGTTTGATGTTAAGCACTAACTATGAACTAAGAGAACGTCTTAGAGATATAGACAAAGGAATCCATAGTTCAGACTGAAGAGTACCAAGAGCTGCATGACTTATCCAGACTCAATTGGGGCAAAGGTGGACCTGAATCCATCCTACACCCCCGGTCCATGCTACACACCCAAGCCTACACTATGATGCCAGGGTCCCCACCTATAGCGATCTTCTCTGCCTGTAAGGTGGTTCCTGCTACTTTGAAGAAAACTAACCACATAGTCTGTGTGGTGTGACAGCTTATTCTGAGAAGGAACACAAAATATCAGGAGAAGGCTGGTCTTAAGGCTTTTGACACAGAAAAGACCCAAGCTCTTGGGGGTTCCATTTTAGACAGTGCCAGAGCCACAAGCACCAATACCGAAATTCTCTCCCTGGTCTCAAAATAATTTCCTATGTTCTACCAAGGATGACCTCCCCATATCTGCCCAGGGCGTGCCGGTATCTACAATAAGTGTTTCTCCTTATCCTCTAAAGAGGGACTTCCTATGAAGACCCCACAAGGGGGGGATAAATCAAAGTAGCATATTTGGTGATGTTACAGTATAAGCCCCGATTGGTGAGGCTCCATAACCTGGGTCTGCTACCTGTGAACACAGAGAGGTGTATCATTGATGCCCAGATGTGTCCTAAGGGGTCCCAGGCCATGGCAAGGCAAGGTCCTGAGACCAGGTGCCAGGCGGAATGTTATTCAGCCTTCTATTTCTGCCAGGGGGACAAGCATCAGGAGGGACCAGGAGGTAGTTTGTTCTCTGACTTGGTGCCAAATACACTTTCTGTAGATAGCACCTGCCATGGTTCCCAGGCGTCACCACTCTTGCCAGGCTTCCTGTGGCCTCGAGGCTACTCTTAGATCTGTGTTCTTGGGCAAGGCAGAACCCATCTGAGTCTCAGTCTCACCTTCTATCCAGCGAAATAGCTTTCTTCTCCATGCCTCACAGTTAAAAGATTGGTGAGACATTACACTGAAAACTCAACAGAAACAAAAATCAGCATGGTGTGTGTATGGAAGTTCGTAAAAATCTGCCAGGCACTGTACCACATAGCAGGATTTCCACCTGCTGTGGGCCCATGTGTGTTTGGAGGGTGCGCAGCAAGGGTGGGGCCCAGCTCCAAGAGGTGCAGTGAGAAGCTGTGCCAGGCACTGAACCAGAAGATGCCCCCAGGTCCCTCTCAGCCCCATGAGTCCCCCATTTGCAGCTCCCCCAGTTCACTCTGGTCTGCATTTACTCCATCCCTCCAGACTACTTCCTGTCTCACCACCAGACTTCTGAGCTTTTCTCACTTGATCCTTCAGCTCCAGAACATTTACTCATTTCTATCTTTGAGAGAATTCAATGAACTCCGCCTGCTCCTGCCCCTCGATAACTCTGAGCTCAGAGGAGCTGAGAAGTCTCTCCATCAGAGGGCTCCTCCTCCTACCTGTCTCCCACAGACTCTAATGAGGCCTAGTTCTATCTCTGTACTGCTGGCCAGCTTGTGCCTCAGAAAATCACAGCACTGTGTCCATCTTGGCAGCCATGGCAGGTCCCAAATTGAAATCAGCTCTGGGGAAGATTCACTCTCTATGGAGCCCAGTTATTGTACTGGCTCCATTGTGTCTAAAATAAAAAATTTCAGAATCCTGCCCCCACCCCTTCTCATGCACTGTGTCTTTGTTTTTGATCACCCAATACTTGACTCCTTCGCCAGGTGCTAATCCCTCTACCCACTGCTGAGCCTTCGGCCAGAGCCCAGATTGATTATCTTCCAAGCCCTTTCTAATAGCTGGTTTTGTAGCACATAACTCTAGCTCAGGATGTCAGCTCTTAGCAGGTAGGGCAATTTTCACCACTGTTTGCGCAGATTCCCATGGCAACCAGGAGACTGTTTAAAAGAGACCCCATCATAGTGTGAGTGATGAGAAAGACCAGGGCCCCGGTGGTGGGGAAGAGGGGGAATGGGGCATTGGTCTTCTATCCCCCAGACATATCGGGCGAACACTTATTTAACCCTTGCCCTGTCTGCTTTCCAAATACCCCCTCCATACCCTCAGGAGGCAGGAGAGCAGCTGCACACGCAGACTCCCAAGACACTCTGCCTCTTCCTTCTCATCACCTTTTCACGTTAGGATCCCGGTCCCCCAAATCCCTGGTTTGACCTTCCTGCCCTATTCGCTCCCAATATGAGCCCTTCCTCAGTGTGAGTTAAATCAATCTCCATGAGGTCAGAGGATTCCTCGGGGCCCTCTGGACATTCTTCTCTTCCCAGCCCTCATCTCCTCAGCTTGAGAAGGACCTGCCGTGACACGTGGGGGCTGAGCTTCCCCTGTTGTACCCATCCTGGAACACTCCTGGGAGTCAGCTGCTCTTCCTCTCTGCCCTCAGCAGGGACATTTTCTAATCTCCTATAGGTCACGGCCCACAATGGCCAAACATAACAGAAGTGATGCAAGGGCCTGGGAAGGGAAAAGCTGCAGGTGTGCTTGTAGGAGAGCAGTGGTGGCCCTCCACCCCCACGTCCACCCCTGCCCTCCCCGGGGGAGGTATAAAGGCTCTCCACCGTCCACTGTCCACCATCCACCCAATTTCTGGCTGGCCACCATGAATCCACTTCTGATCCTCGCCTTTGTGGGAGCTGCTGGTGAGTCCCATGCATCCCCTCAGGGCCCTCTGGCTCTGTCTCCTGGTAGAAATACCTGCCCTGCCATTGCTGATACTCTGTCTCCTCTGTCTAGCACCCCTTTGTCCCATTTCTGGGCTCTCTTTGGGCTTTGCCTCTCCATCTTCTGCTGGACTCCACTCCCAGCCCATCATCATGCATCCATCTCAGGGCTTTCATTAGAGAGGTTGGAAAGGGAGACCAGGGGAAGGTGGTCCATGGAATATGCCTGTGGTCTTGAGGCTTAGCTCTGATGGTACTGGGCTAGCTCCACTATGGCTGTTCTTAGCCCTAGATACACCTAAGGAGGCTGGAGGGACACTCAGCCCTAGAAACTCTAGGATCTAGGGGGTGGCCTGTGCATTGAATTTTCAAGTTGTCCATGTCATTTCAAGATTCCCAGGTGTGCAGGCAAGGTTGAGAATCACTGTTCTATTGGCCAATAACAGTGCCTACCTATGTCCCATTGAATGGGTCTGGGGGCTGCTCTCCCTGGCCCTTGCCCTGCAGATTTGGGCTTTGGGAGAAGCTGGGTACAGTCAGAGCTACTGAACCATGAGATATTTCTAGCCGGGCCAACCCATCCTTACAATTGGGGCTCAAACAAGTGTTGGGAGTGGACAAGTGAGGAATAAGCGAGGGAAAAGTATTCAGTGGGCATGAAAACCACATTCGGAGCCATATCACATTAAGGGCACTATAAGGACCCTTCTTGGTCCTTGGCCTCCTGATGCCCCCAGTCTGGGCCAGAGCCCTGTGAAGTACCTAGCTATGTGCCCTGCAGACACACAGAGAGATTCGGAGGACCACCTCCATTACACAGATCGGGGATAGCAGTGCACCCTGGCTGCCAGTCACCGTGCCTTTCGAGGAGCCCTAATTAGTACAATCCAGCCACAGTGCATGGTTCCACCTCTAACATCCTGCTGAATCAGTTTCTCCCTCCTCTCTCCACTCAAGTCGCCTTCTCCCCGGACGACGATGACAAGATCGTTGGGGGCTACACCTGCGAGGAGAACTCCGTCCCCTACCAGGTGTCCCTGAACGCTGGCTACCACTTCTGTGGTGGCACCCTCATCAGTGATCAGTGGGTGGTGTCTGCGGCTCACTGCTACAAGTCGTAAGTGCCAAGTGCAGGGCCCTCTCCCAGAGCTCGGGTCAGTCCTGGGGAGGGTGGGGAATGGGTAAGATGGGTGGGAATGCAGAGAGGAGGAGTTGTCCATGACAGCTGACACCCAGGAGTGGGGATGACGAGAGGCACATGTACGAGGACTCTCACACCCAAAAGAGATAAAACAGTGAAGGGCTACAGTCCTGAGAACATTCCAGAAGGGGCTATTGGGGGTATAAGGCGTGACAGAGAAATGGGCAAGGACTTCACACAAATAACCTTTGGCAGCTGGCTGCACTTTAAAAGCACCTGAGAAATGTTAAAAAAAAAATACTGGTGCCTGGGTCCTATCTCAGGGTAATTTATTCGGAGTTTTCAGGAAGAGCATCTGAATGTTGGTGAGTTTTGAAAGCTCTCTCTCTCTGCAGTAATTCTGTTCTATAACAGAGCTGGGAACCACTGTCTAGTAGACCAAGGGTTCTCGGAGCTGAGTGTTCACCGGAATCATCCAGAGGGCCGGCTGGACCTTGGGTAGCTAGGCCACCCCTCCCCACCCCTGTGCCCAACCCCCCCCAGGAATGCTGATTCAGCAAGTCTGGGGTGGGAGCAGAGAATTTGTACATCTACCAAGGTCCTGGAGCCACACTTGGAGACCCGCCAGATTAGATCACCTAGAATGGCAGTGCCCAGGATAGGAGGTAGTGAACCTCACTGCTATACTTAGCCAGGTTACAGAGGGGCAGGAATGTCTGGGGGACTTCAAGCCACTCATCTGTGCCCTTGACATTGGAGACACGGAGCAGGGAGTGCAGGAAAAGGCAGCTTGAAAAGCAGGTTGAAGAGCCATTGCAACTGGACCCTTTGACCCCATCCCCTCTCACTAACACCTGCCTCTGAAGCAGAACAGTTCTTGGTGTCATACCTGTACTGCCCACCACCTCTCTTCTGCCCCCTGCGGTCGCCAAAGCCCCACCGTGAGCAGCTCCCGGGGAAGAGTGGGGGTGTGAGAACAGGTCCTCAGGGGCTCCCCTTGTGACAGCCGCATCCAGGTGAGGCTGGGAGAATACAACATCGATGTCCTGGAGGGGGATGAGCAGTTCATCAACTCCGCCAAGGTCATCCGCCATCCCAGCTATAACAGCTGGTCCCTGGACAATGACATCATGCTGATCAAGCTCTCCTCGCCTGCAGTCTTCAATAGCCGGGTCTCCACTGTCTCCCTGCCCTCCGCCTGCGCACCTGCTGGCACCCAGTGCCTCATCTCTGGCTGGGGCAACACCTTGAGCTCTGGTTGTGAGTGGGGTCTTTGTTTCTTTACCCTCTGGCTTCCCAACATTTCCCAGACCCTCTGTCAATGTCCTCTACACCTCCACACACAGAGGATTTTATTTACTTAGGGAGGGAAAGAGAAGGAGAAAGAGAGGGAGATAAACATCAATGTGTGGTTGCCTCTTGAGTGCCCTCTACTGGGCACCTGGCCCACAACCCAAGCACGTGCCTTGACTGGAATCAAACCAGTGGCCCTTTGGTTCACAAGGGGGCTCTCAATACACTGAGCCACACCAGCCAGGGCTAAAGAGCATTGCTTCCTGCCAGGGCTTATGTTCCTGGGGTCCTCTCCCAGCTGCCCTCTGTGTTCAGCCCCAGATTGTTGTCCCCCATCCTGGCCTTACTCACATTTCTCCTTTCCTTTATCTCTCTCTGCCCCTCAAAGACGACCTCCCTGAACTGCTGCAGTGCCTGGATGCCCCACTGCTGTCCCAGGAGGATTGTGAAGCCTCGTACCCCGGAGAGATCACAGACAACATGGTCTGTGCTGGCTTCCTCGAGGGCGGCAAGGATTCCTGCCAGGTGATTGGCCCCCTCCCATGCGGAGACCCCTTCTCCTTCCCCTGACCTGCCTGGGAGTCAGATTGGAACCGCCACGGCTGTGGGGCAGTTCTTCCTTTTTTCTCAGTCTTTACAAAGTGTGTCCTGTCTTCTTCATCTCAGGGGGACTCTGGTGGCCCCGTGGTCTGCAATGGAGAGCTCCAGGGAATCGTCTCCTGGGGCTACGGCTGCGCCCAGAAGAACAGTCCCGGGGTGTACACCAGGGTCTGCAAGTACGTGGACTGGATTCAGGAGACCATAGCCGCGAACAGCTAAAGCTCCCACCCCGCCCCTCTGCCATCCCCATGCTAATAAAGTGACGCTGATTCAACCACGTGTGTCTGTGCCCGCTCCCACGGCCGCAAGGGGCTCTGGGAAAATATCTCCCACCCCCAGATCAGACGGGGCCCTGGCTCCTACAGATGAGCAGAGCGCCCCCTTACCACCTGTGCTCCCTAGAACCCTAGTTGGGCAGCACGTGACGAGATGGAATAAAAAAAAAAATCATACGCAGGAAGCGAGGACAGGCTGTTTCCTGGCGGGAAGTACGTTTCAGAAAGGCTGCGTGTTAGAGACTCCCTGACTGTGGCTGCACTTGAGCGCAGTGCAAGAGAATGCTCCACACAGCTCCCAGCACAGACACATCCAGGGCAGCGCCATGCAAACGCCTTGGCTGCTTCCGAGTTTCTCTGTCATGTACTCTGACCCAGCCCGTGCTCCCTCCTGGCAGCCCAAACCCCACTGGGTCCCTATTTCTTGACAACCTGCCCACGTGTCTTCCCATTGAGGCCTTGAGTCCTCAAGCTCCAGAGAAATCTGACTTTTGTTCATCTCACCTGGCGACACCAATGCGTATGTGCCATACTAAGTGTTTTCCAGACATTTCCAGGGGTGGTTCGCCCTCCCCTCTGGAGTGAATACTATCCCAGTGGCCCAGACAAGAAAGCAGAGGTTACTTTACTCACGTCCCTTGTCCAGCAAATGGTAGATCTGAGGCTAGTGCCTCCTTATTCACCTGGCCCCAAAGCCTGTGTTCTCTCTAGTCCACCTCACGGTCTCTCCTCTGGCCACTGTGGTCCATCAGTCCTGCTCCCCAGTGTCTCTCCAGTGCATCCCCTGCCTCACTGCACTTCCAGAGGGAGAGGCCTGGTTTCCCTTCCACTCTCCAACACCGTGTGCAGAGGGGTCTTGCACATCACATCAAGTCCTGATTCGTACCTTTCCAGACCTCCCACAGCTTCTGAAACAGGACCCGAGCTCCTGACCCTGGGGATACAGGGGGGCTGTTGCTGCTCTGCCCCGGCCTGGATTCCCAGCCCCTCACCTGCTCCTCTGCTCCCCCGAGGTGCTCCCGCACTCAGAAGTCCTGGTGGTCCCTCCAAGGAGCCACGCACGCACCTCTGACCTCAAGCTCCAGCACTATGGTCCCTCTCGCTCGATGGCCTTCCCACCTGCCCCTTCGCCCCCTTCAGAAAAGTCTTTTCTGACTCTTCCATTCCCGATTCTCTTCTCCTCATCCCTGTGCTGGTGCCACTGGCCCCAGGGCCCAAGTGAGGTGTTTTCCTTTCTGATCCTTGCTGAAGGCCTTGCTCATACTGCTTAGTAAACAAGCTGCGTCTACCTTGGCATTCAATGGTGAGCTCTCTAGGGAAGAAATCTCATCTTGAAAATCCTGACATATCTAGTGATTAAACAATGCCCAGAATACAAGAGGCCCCCAGTGCCTGAGTGAAGAAAGTATGACCTAGGAGTGGAGAGAAATGTCCTGAAGGAAGACAGGGCCTTCTAGAAAAAAATATATATATTGGTTCTCGAGGTGTGATCCCTGCAGCCCCAGGATCCCTTGGGAATTTAGGAGAAGTGCAAATTCTTGGGTCTGAGCCCAGACCTACTGAGTCAGAAATTCTGGGATGAGACCTAGTGTCTTGCATTTTGACAAGTCCTCCCAGGCATTCTGATACAAGCTAAAGCTGAAAAACCCATGCAGTAGAGAGATTCAGGTGACCCTGAACAATGTTAGTCCTGGTGCAAGCCCTAGTGACTAACATTTTTACTATTTCAGGCCCCACGATGAATCGGTCATTATGATTATTATTATTATTATATGAAGAGATGGGACTTGAAGAGCTTTGGCAGCTTGCTCACAGTCTCATACACAGCATTGGAGGGCTGGGTAGGGGCCAGGAGGTGGGCTTCCCCGAGGGACAGGGCCCTCAGTGGCCTCAGGTACCAGGGCACCCAGCAGAGTCCAAACCTTAAGTAAGGAGGCCTGGGGGCTGATTCCAGCTCTGCTTCTGCATCTGCCTGACTGGCAACCCATGTGGCCTCTAGGCCTCAGTTCTCTCTGAGGAAATCAGGAGACAAATTTTAGATTAAAATGAGAGCCTTCACATACTTCAAGGATTTCAAGAATTGCACATATATAAGATGTCATTTATGTATCTCCTCCCCACATGGCAAGGCACACCTTGAGAAAGGCACACAGGTAACCGGGCTTTCTGCTCCAGTCTCCAGGAACACCATCCACATTCTTCTCACGCCCTCAAGTGGCCACGTTCAGATGTGCAGTTACTTAGGTTTTAAAAAATGAGGAAAGGGTGCCTCCTGCTGCTCAAGATGATGAATGATCCCACTCAACAACAAGCTCCTCTTAAAAAAAATAATAAAGCTGCTAGCGCACTGGTCACGTGACAGTGTGACAAACTCGAAGTTGGGACAAATTCCATCAGAATCAAAAATAGCCTCGATACCAAGACAGAGTGGAGTTATTCTTTTTAAGGCCAGTTGAGATGAGGGTCCCCAGCTAGCTGGTCCAAAGGCAATTTACTGAGAGGGTCAACTATTGGCAGACCCAAGGGGCGAATAAGACAGGAAAATATACAGAAATAAATCGAAGTAAGTCATGACATTGATGAAATTGTTTCTCAGTGTGGAAAAGGAATAAAGACATGGTCTTGCCACCAATGGCCTTTGATTGGGGCTTACGGTTGAATGTTGTGAGGTCTGTTGCTGGCTATCCCTGAGTGAAATAAACAGACTGTCTCTCCTTCCTCTTTCTTTTTCTGCTAAATTCTAAGAGACACGCGGCTGCTCCCACTGATAACACCACCAGGTAGCACTCTGGTGCTCTCCACGCTGACACCTGTGTTGAGGGACAGGCAGGGGGTCCCCAGCTTGGCACTGAAATAGAAAGACCCAGTGTAATTTAGGGCTTGATTGTTTATTTCCAAACCAATCAGTAAACCCACTCCTAAAATTTTTCATTGAAAAGATCCTGGGACTTCTTAGAAATATGCGTTTTTCACAAGCTTTCTAAGTGACTGGAGGTTCATTCAGCAGATTCACGGCCACGAAATAGCTTCTTATGCAAACTGATCTTCTTGGGGAAAAATGATAACTTTGGAAATTACACAAGTAGGTTTTTTTTTTAAGTAGCATATTTCAAGGTATTACTTAAAGCAATATTTGCTATTTCTCTTTTCTTTAAAGTTGCATTATTTTATTTTACATAGATAATGTAGCCAGGGCTCAAGAATCAAAGCAAGGTGACCCTGAACAATGTTACTTTCATTTCCACTCATGCAGGAAAGCCCTGCCTCTGGACGCCTGGAGGTCAGTTCTCCTCCAGACCACCCTGGAGTGTAACAGCCCCAGGGGCAGGCCCAAGGTAGAAGGGGGCTTCCGCTTCTAGGCAGGGTGGCTCCCCACGACAGTGACAGCAGCCCACAGCGGGGCGGATACCGAGGTGGGGAGAGAACCAGGCCCCTGATAGGCTGTCTCACAGAGACACTTGTCTCTGAGGAGCTAAGAATGTCCTGAAGACGGGGTGTGGCGTCAGGAGGGAGACCCTCCCACCTGTGGGTCCCTGCCACTGCCACTTCACACTACAGGGCGGGGTCTGATGCTCCCCAACTCTGACACCCTCAAAGGGCAGCTGCTCTGGCGGTCTCTTCCTGGCTCTGAGGGGCGGGCCCATGGGAGGGGTGGCTGTGGGAGGGGCGTTTTTGTACAAAGATGAAACATTGTGGGGACAGGGGGCCACGGTGATTCATCTCTATGGGAAACCTTTACAAAAACCCCTCTGCCTGCCACGTCCCCACAGGGGACCCCTCCAGGGTCACGGGCCCCAAGGTGGCTTGGTTCAGAATGCCTCCAGTGCACCCCCGTCTACATTCAAGGCCAAGGATAAGTACAGGCCTGGATGGGAATGGAAACTTCCAGGCAGAGAGAGAGCCCAGATGTAAGAAGGACACCTCAGGGTGGTCGTGGGGGAAGGACTACATCTCAGGACAAGGTCACTGGCAAGGGACATGAGAGGGGACCCATTCTATAGAGGAAGAAGACAGAGGAAACCTGGGTTCTGGGACCCTGTCCCCCTCTCCACGCCACATCCCTTTGAGAGACGCTCTGGGACCATTGAGAAAGGGGCCCTGGGCCCTCCGGATGGACTCGAGCCTTGCTCCATGGCTCCAGGAGCCAGAGCCAAATTGGTCCTGTGCAACATCTAGAAAGCATGGGTGCGGGGAGCCCCATCAGCGCTCATCCCGGAGTCCCCCAGACCAGCCAGGGCCCCCCTCTCCATGCCTCCATCTCTTTTCCTCCTGGCCCCATGTCACTGTGCAAACACCCAGGTTTTCTTTGGAGACGGCACCAGGCTCACAGTTGTAGGTAAGACATGCTCCATGTCTTCCGGGCCCCTGGTGGGTCCAAGGGCTGCATTTCAGAGTGGTCCTATTCTGATGTGCCAACTATGACTACACCTTTGGGCCAGGGACCAGGCTGACGGTCGTAGGTAAGGCCGGGGTCTCTGGTGGTGCAGCGGGGTGGGGGGCAGAGGGAGGTCCAGGAGGGAGGACTCGACCCCAGGAAATGTGGGCAGGAAGGGGTGAGCCGGCTCTGGGGTCCTGGCTGGGGAGATACCATCTCTGGGTCTGTGAAGGATTCATGTGCCCTGGAGGGCACATCTGCCCAGCCACCTGGGGTCCCCTGTGAACGGAGAGCTGAGGCTCGAAGTCAGTGGGCAGAGAAGGAAAGGGGACGGCACTGCCCCTCTGAGTACTTGCCTGGAGTAGGGGAGCAGGGGAAGGCCCAGGAGGTCATGAATGGTCTCTGAAAACACCTGTCTTCCCTCGCTGGCAGAGGCTCCTGTCCTTTCTTGGTCTGGATTTCACAGGAGGCCACACTGTGTCTCTCTCCCCGGGGCATGGAACCAGCTCCGGTAGGGTATACAGGGTATCCAGGGCCCTGGCAAGGGGATCCCAGCTGCATTCAGCACACAAGGGGGGTTTTGAAATGGACTCAGAAGGCTGTGTTCTGGAAACACCGTCTATTTTGGGCAGGGCAGCCGGCTCACAGTTGTAGGTAAGCGAGTCGGGGCTGGAGGGCTGGGAGCTGACAAAGAGAGGGAGGGACCCAGAGGAAGCCACTGTCTTGGGGGCTCAGGTGAAAGCACGTTTGTATCAGAAAGGTCTGAATTCTTATTTGGATGCAGGCAGGATGCAGGCTCTGTCTCCAGTAATTCCAGGGACTGGCTGTGCCACGTCTGGGTTCCCCTTCCCCTGCCGGAGGCAAGTGGCCTGTGCTAGGAAGGGGCCACCTTGTCCATCTCTGTCTCCTCGGAAGGGACCCCACCATGGCTGTGACAGATGGAGAGCCTTATGGCCGTAGAGACTCCAAAGAAAGGGACGGACACAGAAGTTGGGGGTAGGGGGGTTCATGGGGTTGAATAGGTCATCTTACTATAGTGTTTTGGGGGGCAGGGTTGTCCTGCTGCCGCCACCTCCTGAAGCTAAAATTCAGCTGAGAAAAAGGAAAGAGAGCTGGCAGATGGCTTCGGGGAGGAGTGGAAGGTCGCAGGGGCAGTTTCCCTATGAGGCTTCCCTGCTGTGTGAGTAATGAAAAGCTGTTTTTCGGCAGTGGGACCAAGCTGTCTGTCTTGGGTAAGTAAATGCTTCCCTGGGGAGAGTGTGTTATAAGGTTGGGGGCTCAGAAGGACCCCTTTAGAAAGGACAGGGATTGAGAACACCGCAGGAGAAAGGCTCAGAGCATGTGGGTGAGCCGGGCAGAGCCCCCAGGAATTCTGGGGGACCCTGGCTACTGGACGGAGTGGCCCCACTGGTTCTGGGGTTTTGTACATGTGCATTGTGCTGTGGAGCAACCAGGCACAGCACTTTGGAGCTGGGACTCGACTCTCTGTCATAGGTAAGGCGCAGGACCGAGGCGGCAGAGCACCGTCCCTTGGACCCGGACACTGCTCCTCCTCCCAGGCCTGGTGGAAGGGGGTTGAGTACGCTCTGTTATCCCTGGGGGGCTTCCAAGGAGCTGTATCTGCTCCCTTTGGTGGCCTGGCCCCTCCTGAGCTGCTTCCTCTTTCCTCTCATTCCCATTGGATGCTTTGGTCTTCCTCCTGAGGGAATCCCTTTGGCCGAGGGCCATGACTCCAAGCAGGGAAAGGAGGCCACCAGGTAGCTAAGATCTGCCTCCTGGAGGGAGACCAAGGCTGGGTTTTACCACAGCCCCCTGCTGCTGTGTTCCTATAATTCACCCCTCAACTTTGGGGCCGGCACCAGGCTCACCGTGACAGGTATGGGGTCGAACTCCAGACCGGGTGGGATGCCTGTGTTTGACCATGGTGATCGGTCCCTGGGAGGGCAGTGGGGTGTCAGGACGGGATCAGAGCCCCCCTGTTCCTGCTGGAGCTCGGGGCCCCTCCCCACCCTGCCCGGAGCCTCCACACCTCGCTCTGCCGTGTGTGCCGCATCTCAGCGCAGGGCTCCCTGCTTGTTCTTCAGGCTTTGTGTTTCTCGCTCCGCTTTCTGTTGTTCCCCAGACTCCTCTCTTCTCTACTTTTTATCATGTACTTTCCCTTTCTTACCTGATCTCCGTTTTTCTTCCCTCCCGTTTTAACTCCGGCCCTGCATTGTTCACTCCGCTGTGGCAAATAGCTCTGTCTTCTACATGAACGCCCTGCCTGACACCTGCCTCCAGCTCAGAACTCTGCCCTGGCCTTCGTCACCCTCCTCCTCTGTCTCAGCTGGTCTCCAGAGACCCGCGTGTGTCTTTCTGTGGTGGCTCAAGGGCTCAGGAGAATTGGGGGGTTTGAAGGATGGACCCGAGCCCCAAGGGCAGAAGTCCTTGTCTGGAATTGCGGGGGAGGGGTCTCTGGGGGCAGCGTGCTTGGTCAGGGTTAGAGCAGATAAGTCACTACAACTGGAAACCCACACCATCATAGCAACTGACAAGGTGTGAAGAGGAGACATAGGCAGGAGGCCCCATTTTCTCCAACCTCTGACTGGGACTACAGGGCTAGGGGTCCATTGTGAAACGCTCGGGAGGAAGCTGACAGTCGGAGGAGCAGGGCAGGGACAGGCGGGTCTGGGCTGGAGATGCAGACAAGGCTGGAGGAAGGCGACACGTAGGCCCCAGACTGGCTGGCTGGCGGGATCGAGCTTTGTCCACTAATGGGGGCACAGCCAGGACTGTGATGGAAACTTCAAAATTCAAATCACTGGCATTCAAAATGCCTGGGTTCTGGGGGAAGGGGCTCAGGCAATCAGAAAGTGATGTGTAGAAAATGGCAATAACAATGCCAGGTGCTTGGGGTCCTCCGGCTGGAAGGGGCTGGCTTTGGTGCAAAATCCTTGGGGAAGGACTCACCTGCAGTGAGTCCATTCTTTTCAGTCCCATTGTTCACTGTCCCTGGGCCACAGAGTTTGCCTTTTGCCAGACCTGTGTCTCAACTTCCGTGTCAGGAACTTGTCCCAAATTTGCATCAAGGAGAGATATCTGGGTTTGTCCCAGTGCCACTGCCAAACCTCATGCCCATGGTCAAAACAGAGCCAAATCCAGGGCTTGGGAAACTCTGACAAGAAGATGCCTGCTAGACAGATGGACATGGTTTCTCCTACCTCTCTGTGTCTTCGACTGGGGACGTGTCTTCAGACAGTTCGAGAACTCCTTTCTCTCCCATACGCCAGGTTGTAAACAGGCCCAAGGGTGTGTAATATGGGCCCGCTGATGAAATGACCTTTGGACTTTGGGATTTGTTCCTATCCAGTGACCAAGCTCTTACTGCTTTTAAGATGGCAACACTTGGGTGTGAACTAGGTCCCCAGACCTGGCGGGGAGGCTTGCTGAGCACTGGAAGGAAGAAAGGGCTCAACCCACGAGAGTCACCCTGGGCAAGCTACCACACACCCCATGTGCCCCAGGGTGGGAGGAAATATTACCTGGGAAGATAATAGCCGCAGGCACCTTAGCTCTTCAAAGCAGGTTGCACATGAAATAAAAGAAAAGAGAAGAGAAAAGGTAGGGAGGGAGGGAGGGAAGGAGGGAAGGAAGGAAAGAAAGAAGGTTAAGTATAGTTTAGAGAAAACAATATAGTCAGATGTCATGGAGAAAGTGTCTCTTCTAAGCAAGAAAAGCTAATGTTTGTATGTGCAAGTGTCCAAACTGGCAACCACATACAGTTTAGGAAACAGGGCAGTGGTAACAAGAAAGAGGCCATTCAGTTCCTAGGATGGTGTTGCTAGTGAGAACCTTCTGCCTCAAAATCCAGGCTCATTCAACTCTGCTGTAGCCACTTCTAAGTCCCAAAGATTACTATGCACCAAAGAGGGCTTTGAACAAGGACGAAAAATAGACAGACATACTCTTATGATAAACAAAAAAGGCCCTGAGTGTGAGACTTTGCAAAGAAACCCAAGAAAAGCAGGACACAACGTCTCCTTAGGGAGACTGAGAGGACATGGGGTGATTGAAAAGAAGGTGGCAAAGTTGAAGGGGAATGACCACAAAGAATAGAACAGTGTTCCCAAAATACACTGGACCTCTTTCATAGTTTTGCTTTACCGTGACCACCTTCTCAGCACACACACACACACACACACACAGCCTCTGCCAAACCCACACAGCTCTCAGACCAGCCCTGGTGCCCACCCCTCTCCCCTTCCAGACGACCTGAAAAGGGTGAAGCCGCCCACAGTCACTGTGTTCGAACCATCGGAAGCAGAGATCGCCCGCACCCAAAAGGCCACGCTCGTGTGCCTGGCCACAGGCTTCTACCCCGACCACGTGGAGCTGAGCTGGTGGGTGAATGGCAAGGAGGTCAAGAGTGGGGTCAGCACAGACCCTCAGCCCTACAAGGAGCACCCCAACAGCACTGACTCCAACTACTGCCTGAGCAGCAGGCTGAGGGTCTCCTCCACCTTCTGGAACAACCCCCGCAACTACTTCTGCTGCCAAGTCCAGTTCTATGGGCTGGACAGCAATGACACTTGGGAGGAGAAGGATGGTCCCAAGCCCACCACCCAGAGCATCAGTGCTGGGGCCTGGGGCAGAGCAGGTGAGTGGGGTCTGGGGGGGCCAGGCAAAGAGTGAGACAGACCAGAGAGATGAGGGAGGGGGCTTGTGGAAACTGCCAAGGCCAGATCCAGAGAAAAGGGGGAGGGGTGGGGACATGAAAGCCCACTATGCAGGAGAACAAGGCCCCTCAGGCGACTTCTTCCCCAGATCCCAGACAGTGCCACTTGGCTGCCAGGCCCCTTACTGCTGGACTGGATGGCTCAGCATCTGTGTGGTGTGGCCCCATCCCGTTCAGAGCTGTCCCATGAATGTCAAGGACAGGATGTCCTCATGGGCACAAAGGAAGGCAGACACTGCTAGACTCCTCTGGTCTGGGCCTGAAGTCACACTGACTGCAAGGCTGAACTAGTGTGTCACCTGCTCACCCATTTCCCTCCCCTTTCTTCTTTCAGACTGTGGCATCACCTCGGGTAAGTGACCCTCTACTTCTTGCTCTCCATCTCCCATGGTTTTGCTCTGGAACCAGAGAACGGTGGTGGTGGCGGGACTGAGATACCTGCTCACAGGTACCCACCTGCTCTCCCTTCCTGCCAACAGTGTCCTATCAGCAAGGGGTCCTGTCTGCCACCCTCCTGTATGAGATCCTGCTGGGGAAGGCCACCGTGTATGCAGTGCTGGTCAGCGCCCTGGTGCTGATGGCCATGGTAAGAGGGGCAGAGCGAGGTAGGCAGGTTGGAGGTGACATTGAAGCGCAGCAACTCAGAGCCAAGAGTATAGGGACTCTGCCAGGATCCAAGGGGGGCGGAGGAAAGAGAGGGTTTACCTGCACACCTTAGAAGGCACCTCGTATCTCTGGGATCGCAGTGGAAGAACCATGAGGGAAAGAGAAGCTGGGGTCACCGAGATCCTGTGGAGGTTGTGAGGATCCCTGTGCCTCTAGTCAATGGGCCATCCGGTTTCCTCTCAGTCCCCACCACTTTGGGTAACTCCAAAGCCTTCTCCTCTTCAGGTCAAGAGAAAGGATTCCTGATGCCAGCTCAGAGGTGGAACTTCCAGCCTGCTATTGCCCCAGTGTGGATTCGCCTTTTTCCATTTCTAGCCAGTGCTTCCGAAGAGCTGTTCTCACCTCTCAACGCATCCATATGTACCTGCACAGCGGGGTGCTCAAGACTGCAATCCCTCTAACCCCAGGGGCACCCTGGTGGGCCCGAACAGACTGAACCAATAAAAATAGCCTGTTCTCGCTTGATGCTGCCTGCAGTGTCTACTTAGCTCTTTTGCCCATCTCTAAACACTCATGGATGCCAATTAGGATAGAAACAAGAGGCGTACAGGGAAAGTGCAGTCCTTTCGGGTACCCAGGGACCCAGCCTATGGCTCACACTGCTTTTGCCCATCGGGAACTGCAGAAAAGTGGAAGGTGGGGATGTTCCCAAACAGCCTGGGTAAATGGTGATGTTGACCATAGCAACCTCAGACCTATCTGGACAAGGGTGCTCTGCAGAAGGGCTGACCTACTCAGGTGTGTCCACCCGTCAACAGGTCATTTCCCCTGGCTAACAAAGCCTGGTGTCACATACGTCACCGCTGTTCCTATCAGCTGTCTCACAGAGTACACTGCTGAGGTTTCCCAGCTGAGAAGAGAATGCACTGATTTGGAGATGGTGTCTCCCAGTTGAAGTGACAAATTTGTTTATAAATTTCTCTCTAGTGATTTAATGGATGCGATTTGATTGTGCCTGGCAGGGTAGAAAATAGTTTCCCTAAAACCAAGGATCAGCCTCATCACTATTTCTAGAAATCCTTCCAAAGCTCTTTGCTGTCTCACTCACCGTGGTGGTGTAGTCCGAAGTTCTTAGGATGGCATGAGGAAGGGACCCAAGACTGTGCTCCACTCCTTGCATCCCCAACCCCCCTGAGCCACTTGGCTTCTGGGCCGCCCTGCGCCCCGCTACCTGGCAAGGCCGAGTCCTCTGAGAGCTCCTCAGCCTTAAAGACTTAGCTCCAGCTTCTTCCCTGCAGGAGGCCTTCTCTGGAGCTTCCTTGCCCCTCACTCTCTTGAGGCCAGGTGAAACGTACCCTATATTTGGCAGTCACAGTGCCCTCTGCACACGTCCTTCAGGACACCACACTCGGTGGAAACTACCTCTTGCCTTGTCTGACACCCCCATGTGACTGTCAGCTCCTTGATGACAAGGCTGTACTTGATTACAGTAATCCTGGGATACAGCATAGGACCCTGGTTCAGTATAGGAGCCCCATAAATGATCTTTGAACACATGAATGAATAAATGAGTGATCCCAAAGTAACCCAGTTGGGGAGCAGACATCACCGTAAAACCTGCCTGAAATAGCTACTTACCCTGCCATCTGTGGGGCCCCAGAACACAGCCCACAGCCTTCCTTCTCTAGAGCAACACATGTGTGTATTCAAACGGGGCTTTGTGCATACATGTACATATATGTGCATACATGCACATTTTCTACGAACACACACCTTGAGCGCATAAATCGCAATGCTCTGCTATGAACTTTGGGGGAAATAAAGATATCCAAGTCACAGTCCCCAAGCTTTCCTGTTCCCAAAAGGGATAATTCATGAATAGAAATACCTGAAATACAAAGCGATGCTTTGAAATAGCAATGTAAGCTGTCTGCTAAAACACAGCCAGAGGCCAGTGCTCCGATTTCTGACTGGAATCCTCAGGAAAGAGCCTGAGAGACCAGAAGAGTTCTTCAAAGGAAGAGCTGACCTCAGTGGGCAGTGCGGGAGAGCGGTCGTGACAGCCAGGGGCATGCACAAAAGCCAAAACAAAAGTGCCAGAGGGCTGGGCGTTTCTGGGAACAAGGTGCAGAGACAGGGATTATAAACGTGAGGCTGAAAAGGTGCACATCACTCTGAGGATGGACCAGCGTGAGACCTGGCACATAGTAGATGCTCATGAAACACCTGTGGACTCAAGGAAGGCTAAGGAACTTGGACTTTGTTCGGGAAGCAGTGGGGGATTATAGAGGTTTCGGGGGCAGCCTGTGTTGCTATCACCTGCTCTGTGGACCCCACCCCTCGCTCCTCCCACCACGCCCGACTATAAATGTGCAGGTGGGCCCAATGTGTCCCAGAGGGGAGACCCGGTGACATAGAAGAGCTCATAATGCTGTCAGCTCCAGAAAGGGGCGGCTCTGCCCCACCCCCACAAGCACGTGACCTTCCCCAGCCCCTCCTCACTCTGCTCTGAGTTGGTCTTTCCCCAGCGTCCGTCCGTCCCCCGTGGTCGGACCACCCTCTGCCACCTGTGCTTCCTGCCTCTGCCTAGTGGTTGGGGGAAGGGACCCATAGGGGAGGAAACCTTTTTGCATCGCGATGTAGCATTGTGGCAACAGTGGGGGGGGCCACGATGATTCAAGTAGAGGAGATGCTTTTACAAAAAGTCCTGCCTCAGAAAATACACGCAGCCAGGGCCGGCAAGGGCCGCTTCCGAATGGGGACAGGTCTCTGGGGCTGGTCCCCGAGGAGGGCCTGCAGGGACCCTGACTCCGCCAACACCCCTGCACCTCTCTGCCCCAGAATCGCCTTCCCAGCATGCCCAGGGCCAAGGCAGCAAAGCGGGAGCTTCACCCAGCACCTCTCCTAAAACCTGCTCTTTGACAAAGTACTCGCACGTGCGCTAATCATCAAGCACTCACGGCAACCCCGTGGAAAAAAGACATTACGCCACTTTTCAAATGAAGACACTAAGGCCACAGAGGTTTTACGAATCACGAGGCAGGGTCTACCCTGGAACACTCCCCGGCTCCAGCCACAACCGCCCCACCAACACCGGTTCAGATTTCACGGCCACCGCCGCGCCGCCGTATTGTCCCCAAGCCAAGTTCATTCCCTTTGCAAACTGGCGGTGACCTCCTGCAGTGTCCACATTACCAGTCCAGCTAGTTCTGGGGGTGGGAAGAGGAAGCCAGGAAGGACAAGGAGCGTGGCCCTCAGGCCGCACCAAGGGATGTAGAGAAGGGGGAGGAATTCTTGGCAGCCCCTTGCCACTGTGCTCCTATGCTGAGCAGTACTTTGGCCCAGGCACCCGGCTCACCGTGATAGGTAAGAGCCACTCCAGGTGGGAGGGAGGGCGGCTGCGCAACCCAGAGGAGCCCCGGAACCCTGGCCCTCGGGGACTGGGCGCTGGACCCTCCGCAGAGCCAAGTCCGGGAAGGTGGGGTTTGCGCCTGGGTCCCCGGGGCTGTGCAAACACTGGGCAGCTGTACTTCGGGACTGGTTCCAAGCTGACCGTGCTTGGTAAGCAAAGCAGCTGGGGCTCCAGAGCGCTCCGCCGGACGGGGTGGAAGGAGGGGATGGAAGGACGGGGGCAGCTGCCCAGCTCCATTCAGAGGCAGGGCCGCACCTGGGCGGGGGACTCCCGGGATCTGGCCGAGTGCAGGGCAGCAGCGGAGAAGAGCGCCAGGTTTTTGTCCTGGGTCTGGGTGCTGTGAGCACAGATACTCAGTATTTCGGCCCAGGGACCCGGCTGACCGTGCTAGGTAAGCAGGGGCGCCGGGGGGACCAGGAGGGGCAGAGGGGACGCTGCGGGACGCCAGGGGTGGCGGCGCCTATTTTTGTGCTGTGCGCGGGTGCTGTGGGCCAAAACACTGAGCAATTCGGCTCTGGCACACGGCTGACCGTGCTAGGTAAGCGGGGACACCCGCGGGGGACACGCGGGATGCACGCGGGTTTTTGTGCGGGGCTCGGGGGCCGTGACGGAGAGACCCAGTACTTCGGGCCCGGCACGCGGCTCCTGGTGCTAGGTGAGCGGCGCGGGCCAGGTTTTGGTGGGGAGCGCTGGGGCTGTGCACTACCGGCGCCACCCTGACTTTTGGGGCCGGCAGCCGGCTGACAGTGCTGGGTAAGTGGCCGCGGGACTCGGCGGCGGGTCGGGATGGACGACGGCGGCGCAGGGTCCTTCCCTAACTGGGCACCTGGTCCTCTGAGCTGCGCTTAAAGCCGGGCTGGGAACGGGCAGCGGGAAGCTGCTGTGGCGCGGAGGGGTTTGCGTGCGGGGCTGCCACTCTGTGCTCGTATGAACGGTACTTCGGACCCGGCACCAGGCTCACGGTCGTAGGTAAGAATCAATGTCCCCCGGTCCTCCATCCCCAGCCCCTGGGTCTCCGGAGAAGGGTGGGTGGCCAGAGCTGGGGCGCGACGAATTTCCCTCCCTAGGGCTGGGTCTGCGAAGGAGGAATGGGGATGGGGTGCTGAGAATTTGGACGGAGGGTAAGGGAGGCTTTAGGTCTTTGTTCTTTCTGGGGTGTGTAGGGACACGGCGAGCTGTGGGGATGGGAGTTTGGTAGAACTCAGAGCTGCTCCATTGGAGAAGGAGACTAAGAAGGGACAACCCGGGCCGGGGAAAGGGTAGGAGGGGGTTTAACCGCTGACGGTGGGACCGGGTGGAGGGTCAGGAGAAAGCTGGGAGCAGGCACCCTGCAGACCCGGATCCTGGAAGCCGTAGGTGGAGGGAGCCCTGAACACAGGAGGGGGGAAAGATGGCAAAAAAAAAAAAAAGTGGAAGAGAGAGTCCAAGAAGACAGAAAAATATGAGTCACTGAGAAAAAGCTAGGATTTTTAAAATTAGATTTATGGGTTTTGAAATTGGATTTAAAACCCTGTCTCTCTGAAGCCTCAGGCCCCTGGGGACCAGGGTCACTTGGGCAGCACCCAGTGCTGACCTGCTGGTGCCTGGTCCTGGGTGTGTGTGGGGGACCGTAACCTCAGCTACTGGGGCACATTCACCCCCAGATGCACTCCCCCATCCCCCAGCCTGAAACCACAGCCCTGACACTGAGTATTCCACCTTAAACAGTCTGGATGCTGTGGGAAGGTCTCTGGTGACCAACACATTAAAATGCAGATCTTTTGCTGTGAGGTGAGGCAAATTCTCAGGAAGGTCTGAGGCTCTTAGAACTGGGGAGGGGCCTTCCAAGCCACCTGGTGATGAGAAGGTCAAGGCCAGAGAAGGGAAGAACTGCTCGACCTGGATTCTTTGATAGCCACAGCACTGGCTGTCATAGACTCATTCAGCTGGAGCCAGTGAGGCTCAGCTGGAGTTGCCCAGAGGACAGGCTGGCTGCCTGTGGTCAGTGAGGGTAGAGAACAGGCCTTGGTGTTAGGACCAGGTAAGCCCAGGCCTCAGCCCCTGACTCTCACTAATGATCGGTGGGTGACCTTGGGCACGTGTGTCCGTGTGATCCTCAGTTCCCTCTACTATGCAGTATCATCAACAAAGCCTTCCACTTAACATGGTCATGAGGATCACAAGGGAAGGCACTGGTAGAGCATCCAGCAAGGGGTGGCTGGCTGTAGTTCAATGCTTCTCTCCCCCCTCCATCGCTGTGTGGTGGGGATGGGGGGGGGGTTGAGACCAGTGCCACAGAAGGGGCAGGATTTGGCCTGTGGATAATGGAGTGCAGTCCTGGGGGTGCCTGAGAGGAGAGTCAGGAACCGGGAAGATAGACTGCTCACTTCACAAGCAGAGCACACACACACACCAGTACACTCCCCACAGGGACTCACAAGGGTGGAGGGATAACTGGCCTGCCCTCACCACAGGGCTATGCAGACGACAATGCTTGGGAATGTCATAAAGCCCCTGCTTCAGCTTGTCCTGCCTGTCGCATCAGTAAACACTGTGGGGAACACCACATGGCTCAGAGGACATCTTTAATATCTACACTGCTGACTGAGTAGGAGGGGTTCCCATACTCAGTATGAGGTGTCTGTCCCCCAGGGTGAGGGGTCAGAGGGGTGCATGGTGCCCCTGGAAGGCTGGGAGGCATCCCAGAGGCAGGGTCTTGGACATAAGAGCAAATTAGCCAGGCTGCAAGCAAAAGGGTTGATGGAGCCGGTACTGCAGGTATCAGTAAGGATGCAACCATTTCACTCTGGGCCGACCAGTGAAGACCTAGGGTCAAAGGAGCACTGGGCAGGGAGGAGATCCAGGGCCAGGAGCTGACATGCAGGAACCCAGCACCAGCTCAGGGTGAAAATGCAGGGGCTCTTGTTAGAAAATTTTTAGAATTTCAAAATGGTTGCCTGCGGCCCTTAATCCAAGTGTGCGGCCCTGGTAAGTATAGGACCCTGTGTGACCTTGCAGATGTGACCCCACTTCCACAGAAATAGGAAGCGTCAGTCAGAAGAGCATTCTCTCCAACTTCCAGGCTGAAGTAGGTTCTCATAAGGATGAGGTTTCTTAGTTTTTAACAGAATTTCTAGAAACAAACAGACAATGCAGAGAAAGGGAAGAAGATCAGGATGAAATGAATGGAGAATGGCCCAGAGGAAATGAGCCAGTTAATCAGAAGTCTGCTCGGGTTCACAGGAAGGCCCTTCCCCTGTGACCCAGGAGACCCCATAGATAGGCATAGACAGACCCCATACACATACACTGTATCGTGACAACTGGGAGCAGCAATATGTTGTTCTGATGTCCTCAGATGCTGATGTAGGAAGCTTGCTGGTGGGGAAGACACAGCATTTGCAAATGGGTGGAGAAGGTTGGAGATGCCTGACTTTGACATCTCAGGGGAGATTGCTCTCTGTCTGAGCTGAGCCAGAGAAAACTCTGGGGGGGGGGGCAAGGAGGGGAAGGCATGGCTCGGATGACTCTATGAACCACACAAAAGTCATGTGCACCCCATCCAAAAGGATGCCCTCACCTAGGTACACAAAAACATGCCGTGTGTACACCGTCATCTGAAGACAACCCCAGCCCCCAAACATGCCTCTTGTCCCCAGCTCCCCTTTCCTCCTCAGCTTCTTGGATTCAGATAAAAATAACCCACTGTGGGTGGGGGTTTCTGAGTCCTTACACCATTGAATCTCCACCCCCACTCTGCCCAGTCAGTGTTCTGAGCTTCCCTACAGAGCAGGAAAAGTGATGCAGAGAAATCAAAGTCCTAAAGTCACGCAGGTGGGCAGTCGGTTCTGCGATTTGGATCCTGTTATTCAGACTCCAGCCCAGTGCTCCACTTAAGTAACTACTGAAATGGTGAGAAGTCAACAGGTAGCTTTTATTGATGGTGAAGAAACGAAATAACGTACTCAGAAGGTTAGGCAATGGCATTCATAATGTGACCTTAGGATGGAGAGACAGAGTGATGCCAAAATACACAGGACCTACTGCATAGTTTTGCTTTACAATGACCTTCTTCTCAATGTGTGTGTGCGCGCACACACACACACACACACAGCCTCTGCCAAACCCACACAGCTCTCAGACCAGCCCTGGTGCCCACCCCTCTCCCCTTCCAGATGACCTGAAAAGGGTGAAGCCGCCCACAGTCACTGTGTTCGAACCATCGGAAGCAGAGATCGCCCGCACCCAAAAGGCCACGCTCGTGTGCCTGGCCACAGGCTTCTACCCTGACCATGTGGAGCTGAGCTGGTGGGTGAATGGCAAGGAGGTCAAGAGTGGGGTCAGCACAGACCCTCAGCCCTACAAGGAGCACCCCAACAGCACTGACTCCAACTACTGCCTGAGCAGCAGGCTGAGGGTCTCCTCCACCTTCTGGAACAACCCCCGCAACTACTTCCGCTGCCAAGTCCAGTTCTATGGGCTGGACAGCAATGGCACTTGGGAGGAGAAGGATGGTCCCAAGCCCACCACCCAGAACATCAGTGCTGGGGCCTGGGGCAGAGCAGGTGAGTGGGGCCTGGGAGGGCCAGGCAAAGAGTGAGACAGACCAGAGAGATGAGGGAGGGGGCTTGTGGAAACTGCCAAGGCCAGATCCAGAGAAAAGGGGGAGGGGTGGGGACATGAAAGCCCACTATGCAGGAGAACAAGGCCCCTCAGGCAACTTCTTCCCCAGATCCCAGACAGCACCACTTAGCTGCCAGGCCCCTTACTGCTGGACTGGATGGCTCAGCATCTGTGTGGTGTGGCCTCATCCCCTTCAGAGCTGTCCCATGAATGTCAAGGACAGGATGTCCTCATGGGCACAAAGGAAGGCAGACACTGCTAGACTCCTCTGGTCTGGCCTGAAGTCACACTGACTGCAAGGCTGAACTAGTGTGTCACCTGCTCACCCATTTCCCTCCCCTTTCTTCTTTCAGACTGTGGCATCACCTCGGGTAAGTGACCCTCTACTTCTTGCTCTCCATCTCCCATGGTTTTGTTCTGGAACCAGAGAATGGTGGTGGTGGCAGGGCTGAGATACCTGCTCACAGGTACCCACCTGCTCTCCCTTCCTGCCAACAGTGTCCTATCAGCAAGGGGTCCTGTCTGCCACCCTCCTGTATGAGATCCTGCTGGGGAAGGCCACCGTGTATGCAGTGCTGGTCAGCGCCCTGGTGCTGATGGCCATGGTAAGAGGGGCAGGGTCAACAGGATGGGACAGGATCTTAGAGCCTCAACTTGGCCCTGACATAGCCTTCCAGCTCCAGGGAATTATAACAGGACAACCAGAACATTTAGGGATCATTCCAGACTGCTGCATCAGAGGATGGGGAGAGTCAGACAGCCCTATCCCAAATCAGGGCCAGAGTTGGCCCCCTCTGACCCACTTCTACTCTTCATGGCCTGAAGGACCCTGAGAATTTCTTCTTTTTTGCAGATCAAGAAAAAGGATTCCTGAAACCAGTTCCAAAAGCACATCCAGAGTCATTCTTAATCCTCGCCCGAGGTTCACCTGTATGTGCTTCCAGTCTGTTCCTAAGAGGGTACTCTCTCTCTGCCTCTCATCTCCTTCCTACACAGACACCTGTCCCTTCTCTCTGGGTCGCTGCAGACTGAGCCCCTCCACCCTGGATCTAAATAGATTAAGCCAATAAAAATGTTGTGCTGGATCTGGTTGTGTTTCAAGAGTGTCTATGGAGTTCTGCCCTTCAAAAGCACACCTTCTCACTTGGGGACACCACCTCTCAGGCACAAGGAGTGATCAACTATCCTCTCTGACCAATGCGCTCCCTCCTGTTCATCCTGGTTGGTGGTGTGTCCATACCCAGGCATTCTGGGGCCCCAGTACATATGGTTAATCTAAAGAACAAGGTTCTGGGCTCTCAAAAAAGGATGAGCCCAGGTGACCCATAACCCCCACCTCAGTATGAGACTTCAGACAGGGTATACCTGTGAGTTAGAATGCCCAGCTGTTTCTCAGTTCCAGATTCACATGCCACTTATTATGCATTTAGGTTTTATCTGTATCTCCTAACACCTACATCTTATCTTATTTCAGGATTTTGGCACAAGATTTAGTTCTGTAATGTCTAGGTTAGAATCCTAAAGAAGGCACAGAGTTTAAAGTACTTAAATGTGAAACCTGAAGATTTCCCAGAGGCAGGACACATGGGGTCAGGCCCTGGTGGAGGAATAGGGACAGGAAGCAGGGCTCAGTGGGGGTCAAGGTCCTACACCCACATAGCCATTCCAATGGGCATCTCCACTTAGAGGGGCAGAGACCAGACCGCCCCAGAGGCAGCACACTGAAGGCCTCCATACTCAGTAAACTCTATGTGCAAGTGGCGTTCACTGCACAGAGGAGGCAAGGCATGCAAGTAGAGGAAAGAAGGAATAGATGGAGAGTGAGAAAGGCCATGTGCAAGGTACTTGAGGCTGAAGGTCAAGGGTGAGAAGGAAGTCTGAAAGCTAGGAAAGGGCAGAGAAGAGGGATTCCTTACTGATGACCTGCTTTGCTTCAGACTTGGGGATGGGCACTGTCCCAGTTAATGCCCACAACAACCCTAGAAGGTGCAGGGATTAGTCTCCCCACCTTATACTTGAAGATGGCACAGTTCATAGATCAACTGACGGGTAAGCTGTGACACTGGCACATTCCTCTGAAGATGGCCATTCAGGAAGTATTTCTAAGTCCTGACCAGGATGGTGTGATTGTCACAGGCTGGCCCTGCAGCAGCTGCTCCCAAACTCCAGGGCGGGACCCACCGTAAGGGCATGATGAACCCTTGAGTCCTGACTGTATCTGTTTTCCAGCACTGCTATAACAAAAAACCACAGCTTTGATGGTTTAAAACAAAATGCTCCAGAAGTCCATAGTCACCATGTTAGCCAGGTTGCTCTCCCTTCAAAAGGTCTAGGGGGAATTCTTTCTTGCATCGTCCCATTTCTCTTGGCTCCTGGCATTCCTGGATGTGTGGCAACCACACACCAACCTTACATCAGGGAGAAAGTGTCTTCATGTCACTTTCTCCCTGTGTCTCTGTCTGGATGTCCCTCTCCTTTTTCTTACTGAGGCAGGACTCATTGGACTGAAGACATATCCTAAATTCAGAAGGACTTCATTCCGAGACCCTTACCATTTGTATCTGCAGAAATCTTATTTCCATATTAGGTCACGCTGATGGGTATGAATTTCAGGGGGACATTATTTGTCCCACTACAGTGAGCGTCCAGGAACCAGAAGTGAGAGAGCTGTCTGGATCAGCTCACACGGGCCAGGAAAGGAAGCAGCCCAGGGCAGGGTTGGCCAAGAGAAACCACCCCATGACTACAACTTCCCATCAGTCATAATTATCTCTGGATTTCTCTAACTGCAGTACAATTCTTTTTTATTTGGTGTTGCTGTTGTTGTCTGTTTGTTTTTGTAATGACGACATAAGTCCCCAAACAAAGGAGACAGAGTTTAGGCCCTAGACCAGCACCCACAAAACAGAGCCTTCCATTCTTCGGACATGTATCATGGTCCCTTATAAGGTGTGGGAGTGGAGAGAGGAGTGGCTGAAGGGATAGCCAGTGCCTCAGAGGGAACAAGGCATCGCATGGGCCAGAGGGAGTGGATAGAGACAGGGGCATTGGGGGATGAGGTGTGGGGGAATGGGCTGTTGGCAGACAGGCTATTGGGGGACAGAAGGTTGTTCCAGCAGCACTGTGAGGAAGGAGCTGAGCAGAAGTAGGGCAAATGTCAAGGTGCAGGTGGGAGAGGAGGGTTACCCTCACCAAAGAGAAACAGGGTCTGTGGGCTCGGTGGCTGTCATCTTGAGGGTGCCCAAAGCAGAGGCCTTGGCAGGTGGGAGGATGTGGGAGAAGCAGCTGGTTGGCCCCTGGGGCCTGCCCAGGTGAGGAAAGAAGGCATGTCCCCTGCAGGATAGACGAATCGATGCTGGAGGCATAATAGAGATGGAGAAAGTTACAAGCTACATTGGGTCCCCACCCAACACCCCACTTGACCCAGGGAAGGCTCCTCTCTCCAGTCTTCACAGCCACACAGAATTGGTACTTGAGACCTCTGTTGAAGAAGCTCTTCAGAGGTGTCAGACTTGTTTTCACCAGGAGCCACATCAGCCTCACGGTTGCCTTCAAAGGGCCGAATGTAGAGCTCCTTGCCCCTAGTTACGGAGTAGTTACATTCATACAGTCCTAAAATTGTATTCGACCCTTTGAGGGCAACCTCGAGGCTGATGTGTCCCCTGGTGAAAGTGAGTTTGACACCCATGCTCTCTGTGTACGACCAGGATGTCCTTGGACAGACAGTACTGCCCTCAGTGTTTAACCCACAGGCTTTGGGAACTTAGGCTCTTCTGCCCCTGACTCTTTCTCTAGAACCTAAGTAGATCCTCCTGGGACGATTCTGGGTATCCTCACCCCCTCATTCTCAGGTGAAACTGAGCACAGATGGGTTAGATGTAGGGCAAGCATATCATTTATTGTACGAATGGGGATTCTGTTGAGAGGACAACGGCATGCTGGGACAAGTGGAGTAAATCAGGATTGTCCTCATAAATGGTCAGGACATGGGGACACCCCAGTTAAAGGCGCCCTGAGGAAGATTCCGGGTCCAGAGATGTTCCTGGAATGGAAGCCATTAAAGCAGTTCCTCGTCTACTTGGGCCTGGTGAGCCATCCTAGTCTCAGGCTGGTCTGAGGTTCATTCTATTAAGGAAATCTATGAGCAGAATGTAGTCCAGGACAAGTGTCACTCAGTGCAGGGGCAGAGCATCCTTACTGATGGGAGAGACTTAGAAGTCAAGCATCTCTAGAAGAATGCCTGGAGTAACCCAAGTTCTTACCAACCCCTGAGGTCACAGCTGGACTCACCATGGTAGAAACCCAGGAAAGGAACCTCAATCCCAATGGCCTTTAGAGATTTATCCAGGAATTCAGGGGAGGAAGAAGGCATCCAACTGGTCACATAATAATGGGAACATCCTGGTGCCTGGTGGGATTCCTGTGGAGTGGGGCTAGTCAAATCACTGTCACTTGCTCAGAAGAATTCTCCCATCAGCATCAGTATCCATCAGCTAGAGACTGCAACCCTTCCTACTACACAGCTCACAGAAGGGCTATGCAAGCTTGGGCAGTGGCGGTGGGGTAGACAAGGCTGGGACCAACAGAGATAAAGAATTTTTCTCACTTGAGTAAGTGGAAGACAGAAAAAAAGGATTGTGACGACTGTATAAAGAAGATGCGGTACATATATACAATGGAATATGACTCAGTCATAAAAAAGAGTGAAATTTTACCATTTGCAACAACATGGATGGACCTAGAGGGTGTTATATTCAGTGAAATAAGTCAGATAGAGGAAGACAAGTGCTGCATGATTTCACTTGTATGTGGAATCTAAAAAAAATAAATGGACAAACAAAGCAGAAACAAACTCATAGATACAGAGAGCAAATGGATGATTGTGAGATGGAAGGGGGATGGAAACTTCTATAAAAAATGTTGAAATGGATGAAAAAGACAAATTGCTAGCTGACATGTACACTGGCTTATAGTACCTGCAGCATCATGGATGAGACATGAGACAAATTCACATGGACTTCCAAGCCCTGTGGAAAAAAAGAGGACAGCATGGCTATGCTCAAGGCAGGAGAGCCTCAGAACGGCCCGGCCACCCTCTCAAGGTGAGAGTGCGCTGACCCTTGCCTAGATAGGCTTTTATTGGGTTTTTTTGCACGGGAGTTCAGGTACCACTTATTAATCATCATCAGACAGTAAACAGTAGATAGTATACACAGAACCATTAGGACTTCTGAATCAGGATCTATCAGCTAAAAGGCTACAGAACTTCGGGAACATAAATTCACTTTTTGATCGGGCCTTTATCATTTAACTAAAAGCATTCTCAGCAAAGCAGGCTTCACAGGATTGTTAGGAATTCTCTCTCATGACAGATCACCCGGGGAACTCGCCATTCCCAGCACAAGGTTGCACCACTGTTGTAGACCGCTCTGCCTGATTTTAGGAATTGTATCTCTACCCCTTGTGGCTAAGGGCGAGAGATGACCTTTAGAATGCCAGCTGCAGGAGACAAAGCTTGTCTCTGGTAGCAAACACTGCCTCAGTTCCTCTCCCTGCTCCCAAAGCTTGGTTGGAAGTCAATAACAGATAAGACCCTTCACAGCACGGGGCAACCTAAGCCAGACTCGATCACTTGGGGGGCCTTCATGGAAGGACTGGGGGGGGCTACAACAAAGAGCAATGGACTCTCACCCCCTGGCTCTGACAAAGCCCAAGTCCCCATGTCCTCTGGGAGAAGTGCTTCCTGGCTCTAATCCCCTTAAGCCTGAATACTTGTTGGGGAGAGGTGCAGCTCCTTGCCTTGCTAGAGTGTGTCCTGGGGAAAAATCTGGCATCACAAAAACTTGCTGATAAACCTGTGAAATCTGCTCTGCTAAGAGTGCTTTCATTCATATGATAAGGGTTGGAGAGGAAATGAGTATGTCTCCCAAAGTTTCTGCAACTCTCTTCCTGACAGACACTGACTTAGACTCCGAAGCCCTCAGATCTCTTTAAAATGTTATCTACTGTTTGGTCCTTGCTGCCCTATATTCCTGTGTATTACAACCCAATAAAAGGCTATGGAATAGGGTGCTCAGGGCCTTTT